AACCAGCACAATTCAAGATACAAGTACATCTGACTACGGGATCGTAAATAAAACAAAATTAGTGTATATTCAGCTGTTGTTACCCAATATGCTAATCACTTGTGTTCAGATTATATATGGGTAAACTTTGTGAGTGGTAGGTTTATTAGACTACGCAAGTAGCCTAATACAATGAATGAAATTAGACTCCTTTATATATATTATACATCTCATCCAACCGTTGTATGACAATACTGCATGCCAAGTAATCCACAACGGAAAACTTAGGGAATCCTTGGAAGTAAAGACGGGAGTGAGACAAGACTGCCTACTATCGCCAGTGATTTTCCTGATTGCTGTAGATTGGATAATGCGACAGACAGTTAGCGGGCAGCAAGAAAACAGGCACAAAATGGACCCTCACGAAAAACTTGGAGGATCTGGACTTCGCTGATCATACATATGTCTGATTTCTCACAAACTGGAAGATATGCAAGTGAAAAACAACAAGTTGGCAAAAGTAGCATCAAAGATAGAAGGACTCTAGGTAAACATAGAGAACACAGAGGTGATGAAGATTCCTGGTCAACACCAACAGCAACAATAACAACAGACAACAATCAGCCAGCATAAGTGGAAGGAACCTGAAAGAAACAACCTCATTTGCCTACCTACCTCAGAAGAATCGTTTCAATTACAGGCGGACAGAAATGATGAGGATATCAAACCACGGATCGGGAAAGCAAGACAAGCCTTCATTACTCTCAAGTCTGTGTGGAGGTCAACAGCACTCAGCATGAAAAATGAGATCCGGATTTTCAACTCCAATGTGAAATCAGTGCTACTCACTAGACGGATCAGAGACTTGTCGCGTCATAAAGAGCACATCAAACAAACTACGGACCTTCATCAAAAGCTGTCTTCGCTCAATACTAAAGATCAGATGGCCTGCCGGAAAAGATCAGCAATAGGGATCTCTGGGAGCGAACCAACCAGGAAGCGATTGTGCAACAAATAAGCATGAAGAAATGGTGGTGGATTGGATTGGCCATGCTTTGAGGAAACCATCAAGTGACGTCACTAGACAAGTCCTCGAGTGGAACCAGAAAGGGAAGCGGCGAGTTGGTCGTCAGTGTAAAGGTGACTTGGAGGAGGTCATGTGAAGAGGAGATGAAAGCATGTGGTCAGACCTGGAGCAAGGTGAAAACTTTAGCACAGAACCGAACGCAATGGAGACGTGCAGCTGAAGCTCTATGTTCCTCTAGGAATTAAAGGAAATTATATATATATATATATATATATATATATATATATATATAAAGGATTTCCAACAGGCTTCAGGCTTCATCAGCAACTGCCTTCGCTGGCTCCATACTGAAGATCAAACGGCCAGAAAGAATTAGTAACAAGAAACTGTGGGAACAGACCTATCAAGAGCCAATCGCTCAACAAATATGTTAGGAGAAAATGGAGATGGATCGGGCGTACATTGAGGAAACCGTCTAATGACAGCGGGCGCAACTCAGGCCATCAGTCGAGTGGAATACAAATGGGAAGCAACGACGATTAAGTCGTCAGTGTAAGCGTAACATGGAGGAGATCGTATGAGGAGGAGATGACAAAGCTTGAGCACTCGTGGACCCAGGTGAAGAGGATGACAGAAAATAGAAGTGGAGATTTATTGTTGAAGACCTATGTTCCACTCGGAACCCAAGGGAATAATAATATTATATCAATACTTATGTTTAGATAGTAAACTGCAGTCTATTTGAAGACGCTATGTTTTCCAGCCCTCTTGATTGTGTAAGACTTCTTAATTTTCCAAATATAGTCATTACTCATACACTTTGATTTATCTTGTTACTAACTTACAACAACCTTTGCTGACTCATGTCTTCTTTATTACTTATCTATACTGATGAAGTTTTTAGCACAATTGATTACTCATCATCATATCATGACAATCACCTAATTTACAGATTTTTTTATATAGTTCCATTATTTCTTATATGTCTCATTCATAGGTGTTGCATTACTCATTTTATGTGTGTGTGTGTGTGTGTGTTTGTGTGGCATCGGTTCGATGAACAAAAAGATTAAGTGACCACCTATCTCTCTGTCTCTCCTTCCAGTGAACGGTATTGTTCTGTAGAAATGTATTTTAATCCTTTAAGAATAGTAAGTTGTTGTCGAGGCGTCATCAGTCAGTTAATAGTACCGTATCACACTGTATGTTATGTCAAAGAAAATTATGAAAATAAAACACGTAGTCCAGCCGAAGAGAGTGTCTTTTTTGAAGGCGAATTCATTCACTTAGCTGTACAATTCCAATTATACATACTTATTTATGCATATATATATGTGTGTGTGTACACGTCAGGTTTGTCCGATAAGAATAAAAATAAGGTGGTGTTATTGTTGTCAAGACATTTCAAAAATGATGTGATGTGTAATCAAATTGTGATTATGTGGAGTGGGGTTGAAGATTGGCAAGTGGGTTTCGGTGATGTATTGTCAAAAACAAACATAGTTATTAATGTCAATCAACATATAAAAGAAGTTGAATAAGCGTAATGCAGTTACGTAATAACGTGAATAGTTTGATGAGTGAGTTGTAATTAGACTGCATATAAAAACAAAGGAAAATATGCAATTGTGTAAGACTTCTAAAAACTACAAGTCTCAAAAGAGAAATACGTGAACAGTAAGAAAAATTTTTTTCTCGACGATTTATTTTCATAAGCCGTTCAGTTGTAGTTACATTTAACAAAGAAATCATAAGACCAGTTAGATACTGGTAAAATTTGTCCTTGAAAAAAAATGTTCTACGCAATGTAAGGTGTAACCTAGATGGGGTGACTAATTGGAAGTTAGAATAGAAGTAGAAGTTGACGTGACGTAATAATTGTGAGAAAATCACACATTAGTATAACTGTGTGGAGCGGACAGGCATTAGTGGAAAGACGATACAATGTTTCTACTCTAAAATCTGTGTGAAAACACAATGTTATTAATAAACAGTAATAGAATGATAATTAAATATGGATGATGAGAATAATAATAATAATAATAAACTTACATAATGAAGTGAAGCAAAATTATAGTAAGACCGTTACCCTGGCCACGGTAGATTGGTGGAATGTATGTGATGCTTGTGAACTCAAAGGTCGGGTTTCAGATCCCGAATACCCAGTGATTCAGCTATGTAGAGATGGCGTATTCGAAGTCCCTTTTCACGATGTTGAGAGACTTTGTGTAACATTGTGAGGCATTCATGCAGATGGGGGTGCTCGATGTCCAGAGATGACAAGGTGTTCGAGGATTGAGCTGCTACTATTCTTCTCTTCTCCTCTGGCTGCCTAACCAAGCTGGATAGTGTTCCAGAATACACTTGTGGACTTGATGTTGTGTACGACCGATATACTTTGCTTCAAACGAGTAAGTAAACTCACAGGTACACATTGAGATGGCCCTAAGTGATATCTTATCCTTAACGTTAGACTGGAGTTGGAAAAAAATAAGCACACAAACATCAAGTCAGTAGAAGTCAACACGGTTGTTGCCATGATAGTAGAAGTGGTTGGATGATTTTATTTTGTGTACATAACTCTGGTTTTCCCAACTGAGTGGCTAAGGCTTCAGCAATACAAAGGAGACGAAAGCGTATTTATTGTCTTTGGTAGGTTGTTCTTCACTTTGTGGATCACTTTGAGGGAGGTGTTTGTTGAGATGGAATGACCCAGTGTTGACGAGATGTTCGATTGTCACACTCCTTATACAGCCACTATTACCTTTCTTAGTCAAGCGGGATAGTGTTCTTGAACCCTTTCAGGTAGGATACACGTAGAATGACCAATGTACCTGGCTCCACAGCAATAGGTGAACTGATATGTGCACATAGAAGTAGGCAGATGGGATGTCTTGTCCTTAAAGCTTCTACAGATCTATGGACGACTGGAGAACACTGCAAAAAATGTTCTTTTTTCTAACTCTTTATGACATTTGTAATTTTTAGCAGTCTTACATAATTGCATATTTTCCTTTGTTTTTATATGCAGTCTAATCACAACTCACTCATCAAACTATTCACGTTGTTACGTAACTGCATTACGCTTATTCAACTTCTTTTATATGTTGATTGACATTAATAACCATGTTTGTTTTTGACAATACATCACCGAAACCCACTTACCAATCTTCACCCCCACTCGTCCCTACCCCACATAATCACAATTTGATTACACATCACATCATTTTTGAAATGTCTTGACAACAATAACACCAATTATTGAATTGAATTTTTGATTTTCCCGTCGATTGATTGGACCGAAGTGTTCGGTCTCAGGTTGACATGTCGGCTTCTTGTGCAGATGCTTCGACGATGTCTGGGGATTTGATTTGTATACAATTGGTGGATGGTGGCTAGCAGTGGAATCCAGGATGCGCATTTCGTCCTAATTGGGACTCGTCAGCTGGATGTACCTGCATTTCTCAGTGAGTGATGATGTTCCCACCGAGGCTCGAACCCAGTGCCCATAGTTTCAAACGCCAAAGCGTTATCCACTAGACCACTTGGGCCACGAGAGCCACCTCTTGTGCAACGGGTCATATATAAATTATTGAATTGAATTTTTGGTTTTCCCGTCGATTGATTGGACCGAAGTGTTCGGTACATCCAGCTGACGAGTCCCGATTAGGACGAAATGCGCATCCTGGATTCCACTGCTAGCCACCATCCACCAATTGTATACAAACAATAACACCACCTTATTTTTATTCTTATCGGACAAACCTGACGTGTACACACACATACATAAATAAGTATGTATAATTGGAATTGTACAGTTAAGTGAATGAATTTGCCTCAGAAAAGAGACTCTTTTCAGCTGAACTACGTGTTTCATTTTTCACTAATATCTGAATGGAGATTATGCATGAAATAAAGTTATCCTATCATGAAGTTATTTGTCTTCATTTCAATTTTTGCTAGTAACTCTGTTTTTGTTGTTATTATTTTTTAGACTAGTACACCTAGGATGAATAAAACTCAAGAGTTTCAAGAAAGATATCCATCAACCATACAATATGACAAAACGAAACCTTGTTTACCCTGTACAAAGGTAATATCCCATGTCATCTTTATGTGTTATATACATACTGCAATTTCTCTGTGTTTCGAATTGAATATAAGACTTTCAGCTTGACTTTTGAAGTTTCATTAGCAGTGGGTTGAAGACGCCTAGCCATATGCTTAACCTTCCACCTGTAACGCGTTCACTACTGGCTGAATGAGATTTAGGAGTGCATCGGCGGTGGAGATTGGTCTCTGTACCACGTGGTGTGGTGCATGGCAAGTATTCTACCACTGATTATGCTTCATAATTACATCTTGTAATATCACAGTCCCTGAATAGAACATTTCCTCCTGCATCTCTGAGAATAGCCGTTACTGAGTCGATCATTACTGTTCAGTAACCTGAAGGACAAGATCCCGCTGTTGACCAACTCTATGTGTGTTCATCAATTCACCTACTCGTGTGGAGTTAGGTATATCGATCGTTCGACTCGACTTTTGTCCAAGAGGATACAAGCACACTATACTGCATGGTTACGAAGAGGTGGAAGTGGAGCAATAAGAAGCGCGATCATTGAACATCCGTTCGATAATGATCACCCTGTCTTTATAGCCTCCGCCTTTAAGGTCATGTACAAGGCAAAGAGTAATTTACCCAAATCCCTACGTACCCGGCTCATTTGTATTGCTGAAGCTTTGGCTATCGAAACAAAAAAGCCAGATCTCTGTGTACAGAAAAAAGTTTGTTCAACCCCTCCAACTTCCATGGTCTTAATCCCTCTATGCTAAAGTATAGTAATCCTCAATCATGTTTTAGCTCTACCAATTTTTCATTTTTTCATTTTGTCTATTCATTTTGTAGTCTCTTCCTTATTACGTCAATTGTCACTATTACTGCTCTCACTTTGAACTATCTTCAGTATTGTTTCACTTGTTCCACTTGTTATTCCTAATCAATTCTTTTTTACGTTAAATTCTACGCTATCAAATTTCACACAATATTACGTAACGTTTTTATTCGATTCGATTTGTCTACTAGTCCTGTAATTGCACACCCTTTTTCAAGTTCTATCCATCCTATGAATTATTCTGTATATGAAACTAATTTACTTTGCCACTTGACATTTAACTATAATTATAATCACAAACATTTTAGTTTTCATTGCATTTCATACTACTATTATTATTATTTTATGCATTCACACCTATGATTCTGTTCCCTCACCGGATATAACTTCTTAAAAACCATGCCTATATACGATTGTACAGCTTGATGATAAATTCGTTGTAAAGAGTCTCTTCGCTGAATCACTTGATTTGATTTTCTGTATGTTACAATGGGAATTTTCCATGAGTCTTGTAATTCTGTCGTCTTTTTGTTTGCTAAACTTGTGTCTACTTACATTCTCATCTTTGTCCAAATGGATAGTGGTTAATTAGTTAAGTGCTAGTGATTTTTATTCGTCACACTCTCTACGTTCCACTCTGTAGAAATTCACCATTCAAATGTATGAAATAAAAGCTAATTTGTATGAGAGATGTTTAAGGCATGTGTTACGTATGTCTAGCCTAGTCATCGCCTTCCTCGACGTTCAATGTTAGCTGACGTAGGATTGGGTTGTAAAAGAGCCAGTGGTGGTCAAACCAAAACATGACTTCACCAGTCAATGAAATGCACAACAGTTAGTTTAAGCCAGCCAGCCAGCCACGTAGGAAGGTGTAGACTTCTTGGCTGGTTGGTGTCCTCGGGACTGTAGAAACCAATGAAGACTGGAGACAATTTGTGATATGGCTTAAAATCGTTCTCAATGGCTGGAGGAGATGCATCCACTCCTTGTGACTTATAATATCTCGCAAAACTACATTGTTCTTCAATATTACTATTCTTTTCGCCTCACACTACTGTTTATTATCTGTCTTGTGAACCTCCGTTTACTTTCTTCTCTTGCTTTGTGTGGTACATGGAGGAAGTGTAGCAACTCGAACTGCTGCATATCTGTGCAATGTTCTATACTGAAACCAGTCAGTTTTGAGGATTTCATGTAGTTTTCTCTTACTAAAATTTTAAAATACCTTTGACTTATCAACATGATCCTGTTTTTTTTTTGTAACCCTTTAGTGCTCATCTCCGGATATCAACAGATCAAGTGTACTTCATAAATCTCCTTCAGAACTTCCTTTGAAGTCAATTACTATTTCAGCTAGGCAAACAACAAATGCATCAAATCAACAACATATTGGTACTCCTTTAAGAAGATGTAAAAGTTCCTGTGTCCTAGAAACCAGTGATAATACTTATAGTGAACCTTACAAACCTATTCATCGACGTGTAGTTCATTGGTCGCCAATTTCAGGATCACCAGTTATTGAAAACACTTGTCGAAGTTTGCATGCATCAGAAAGTCATTTAAATGAGTTGCGGGTAAGATTTCCTAGCATAATGTTTATTATTCTCTAGAATTATAAAGTTAAAGATTTTGTTTTTACGAGATGAGTTTTATTTCCATATGACAAGTAAATTTAAACAACAAAGATTTGCTGTTAGGTTTTAAACTGTAATACATTTTGAATATGTTGTTTATGTGAACAATGAATTCTTTGTAGTTAAACTGTCCAGTTGAGAAAGCACTGCTTCACTAAGGAAAAAAAAGCACAATTGTCGATTGGTGTACTTTCAAATCACGTTTGCCACATGTTGTACAGTTGCACTGGTCAGGTTATTCTGTAATGCTTTTAACATTTCATTTAAATTTCACTCAGTTCAATAGACGTTTTTGAGTACGTTATGACATGGAGCGGATAACTCACAGGCTTCGGTAGTCGGCTTCTTATATATACCAAATGTAACTCCATCCACCCAATAAGTGACAGAGTCCTCAAACATTTGCAGTCCTCACACCATAAAATAAGGGATGAGGCCAAACACACTACAAGGGGATCTCATTGAGATTGGCTATCCTGAGGACTTCATCACAAAATCCATCAAGTCTACACCATGAAAATTATACGCACATACACACGCTTTCGATCATCAAAAAAATACTTCGCTTTCTCTATGTAAAATTCTATAGACACTCATCGCTAAAAATATTAAAAAACTATTTGTCCACTTCAGACATTTGGTTCCCTTGATAAATCGCGATAGAGAAAGAAAGACCAGATTTGCAGTATAAAATGATATCATCAGTCTATTTCACAGGTTCTCATCAGCGAACTGCAAACTACCTGAAATTACAATGGTTATAAATACTTACATTTCATACTTCATTGTTTGAAAGGTAATAGAGAAAACACTATAAGGTGAACGCATCCGGAATATAAGTATTATAATTTATAGTTTAAGTTACCATCAATTTATATACTATCAAACTATGAAAAAAGAAAAAAAAGGGGGGGTGAGAGAAGGCAGAAAACAGAAAAATCTAATAAACGGTGCCAACAAGTCAACTCAAGAAGGTCAAAGTTCATCAGTTCGAAAACTTGCTTAGTGAGTTGAGCCCGCTAGTGTGTATGACTAGTCAGTGTAATGAAATTGATATGGTTACCAAGGGAGCGAGAGATTGACTACACTCTCTTTCTGTGTGCATAAGTTTGGTCTGTCAAGTTTGATTGCAATTACTTCAGCAAATCGTAGTAGATTCGCTGTCTTTTGTATGTTTAACATTTTGAAGGATATAGAAATCTCGACAAAATGACCCGTATCCACAAGGTGTCTTGTAATTGCACTTTGTAAATATCTGTTTCCTTTTAAGCATAAGTTTCTCGGAATATGCTCTGGAAACCGGATAGAAGCCCTTCTTTCTGTCCTTCCAATGTACTTGCCGCCGCAGGGGCACGTAAATTTATAAATGCAGTTGGAGGTAACATCAGCAAGGTACTTATCCAGTTTCTATTGGCTTATAGAGCAATAGATCTGTTTGTTTACAAATGATATCTATTGCTTCCATCACTGGTACATTTGTAAATAAGACAGTCACGTTGTATGACACCATTAGTTTATTTGATATGTCAACGTGATCGACTTCTTTAGAAAATTGGAAGGTGTCATCCAAGCTATGATTTAAAAATTTTTGTCGAATCGGCTCCAGTGAATCAGCTAGCCATCGAGCTAGTTTGTAGCATGGTGAGTTTATCATTGATAGTATGGGTCTTAAGGGCACACTGGTCTTAGAGATTTTTGGTAGACCGTACATAAATGGGAGTCGTCCACCCTTTGACTTAAGTTCATTGTAAGTTTTGGTTACCAAGGGAGCGAGAGATTGACTACACTCTCTTTCTGTGTGCATAAGTTTGGTCTGTCAAGTTTGATTGCAATTACTTCAGCAAATCGTAGTAGATTCGCTGTCTTTTGTATGTTTAACATTTTGAAGGATATAGAAATCTCGACAAAATGACCCGTATCCACAAGGTGTCTTGCAATTGCACTTTGTAAATATCTGTTTCCTTTTAAGCATAAGTTTCTCGGAATATGCTCTGGAAACCGGATAGAAGCCCTTCTTTCTGTCCTTCCAATGTACTTGCCGCCGCAGGGGCACGTAAATTTATAAATGCAGTTGGAGGTAACATCAGCAAGGTACTTATCCAGTTTCTATTGGCTTATAGAGCAATAGATCTGTTTGTTTACAAATGATATCTATTGCTTCCATCACTGGTACATTTGTAAATAAGACAGTCACGTTGTATGACACCATTAGTTTATTTGATATGTCAACGTGATCGACTTCTTTAGAAAATTGGAAGGTGTCATCCAAGCTATGATTTAAAAATTTTTGTCGAATCGGCTCCAGTGAATCAGCTAGCCATCGAGCTAGTTTGTAGCATGGTGAGTTTATCATTGATAGTATGGGTCTTAAGGGCACACTGGTCTTAGAGATTTTTGGTAGACCGTACATAAATGGGAGTCGTCCACCCTTTGACTTAAGTTCATTGTAAGTTTTGTGGTCAATCAGTTTCTTGATGAAGAGTTCTTTGAGGCATTTATTTACTTTATTTTCGAATGACATTGTTGCATCCTTCTTAGTTTTGTCCACCTGAAATTTTTCGGAATGGTTAAGAATTGTCAACATTTTATGTACATAATCAGTTTTATTCATTATAACAACTCCAGAGCCTTTGTCGGTTCTAAATATGACTGTGTCATCACTTTCATATGTGAAAATATCAGTGGACAACAATAAGAAGGATGCAACAATGTCATTCGAAAATAAAGTAAATAAATGCCTCAAAGAACTCTTCATCAAGAAACTGATTGACCACAAAACTTACAATGAACTTAAGTCAAAGGGTGGACGACTCCCATTTATGTACGGTCTACCAAAAATCTCTAAGACCAGTGTGCCCTTAAGACCCATACTATCAATGATAAACTCACCATGCTACAAACTAGCTCGATGGCTAGCTGATTCACTGGAGCCGATTCGACAAAAATTTTTAAATCATAGCTTGGATGACACCTTCCAATTTTCTAAAGAAGTCGATCACGTTGACATATCAAATAAACTAATGGTGTCATACAACGTGACTGTCTTATTTACAAATGTACCAGTGATGGAAGCAATAGATATCATTTGTAAACAAACAGATCTATTGCTCTATAAGCCAATAGAAACTGGATAAGTACCTTGCTGATGTTACCTCCAACTGCATTTATAAATTTACGTGCCCCTGCGGCGGCAAGTACATTGGAAGGACAGAAAGAAGGGCTTCTATCCGGTTTCCAGAGCATATTCCGAGAAACTTATGCTTAAAAGGAAACAGACTAATTTTCCCTGAAGAAGTTCGGACTAGATTGCCGAACGAAACGTTGGAATTAATCATTTCAATTTCGCTGAGATTTTACAAATATAACTTTATAAATGTCTACTTCTCACTCAGCGCTCAATTATTTTGCAACTATCCGGTCAAATCTTGATCACAGTTCGTATAAATTCCCTATTATTTTATTTATTGAATGATATTTTGAATTAACTTTTTTTGATTTCTTCCAATTATGACAGTTATCTACCTGTAGTTTGGCTAGTTCAGTCAATCTTGTTTATCAGTCATTTGACAATCAAATTTCATCTGTAAAGGCGACACCTAATACACCTATCTTGTTATCTACTACTAGTAAGACAAGTCACAACAACGTGTCAAAAATGCTTAGAAATTCTGAATCCATCAATCATAGATTGGAATGTTTCAATTCTAATGCTATGATACAAAAAAATCATTCATTGGTGAATGAATCAAATGAAACACTTCCAGGTTCACGCCTTGTTTCTTTAAATCAAGACATGAAACAAATAGCGGTGAATTCAAATTCATGCAAAATCTCATCAACATCCTCGTATCGGTATAATGACGAAAATGAACCAAAGTGAGTGATATATATATATATATATATATATATATATATATATATATATATATCCTTTCTACATTAACACATTTGTACAGTGAATGAATACATCTCTTCAAAAGTTTTGTACGGATGGGGTGGGGTGGGTGGGTGTAGAAGGATAATTTATCTTCTACAAAGGTATGTATCTAATCTTCCTAATGAAACTTATATTTCAAAACTAACCGAGATGTGTATGTAGATGGTGGCTCACAGTGGTTTTTCAAACACCAAAACGTCATCCACCAGACCACTGCTGCCAGCCACCGTCCAGTAAATAACATTCTTGTTAATCCTTAGACATCCGTGCTAAGAGCTGACAAGTCAAAGGAAGCTGAACATCTCGGTTCCATTGAGACGTGGTATCCGGCTGTCTGCAAAAGGGCGGGTGTACTGCTCATCAGTCCGCTCCTTCCTCCTATATAGCTGTGAGAGAGGACCACTGAAAATGGAAGATACGAAAAGCCTGGCTAGCTGGGTTTGTTGATAAGTGCCGGATTGTATCTCCTGTGCAAAGTGTTATAATAGGGTGAGCAATATTGAAGTTAGGCATCGGTTGAGTGCTAGGTACGGAGGGGAAATCAATCGATGGGGATGTGAAGTTACACCGATTGAGATGGTTAGGACATGTGTTGTGTATGACTAGCCTAGTCATCGCCTTCCTCGACGGTGAATGTTAGGAGACGTAGGATCGGGTTGGAAAAGAGCCAGTGGTGGTCAAACCAAAACATGACTTCACCAGTCAATGAAATGCACAACAGTTATTTTAAGCCAGCCGGTCAGCCAGCCAGCCACGTAGGAAGGTGTAGACTTCTTGGCTGGTTGGGGTCATCGGGACTGTAGAAAGCAGTGGGGGCTGGAGAGAATAGGTTATATGGCTCAAAGTCGTTCTCAGTGGCTGGTGCGAATGCATGCACTCTTTGTGGCTTATAATTTCCCATAAAACTATATTGTTCTTCGATATTACTATCCTTTTTATCTGATATCCCTTCGTACTGTCTCTATTTTGCATTGTTTTTTACTTTCTTCTCTTGCTTTGTGTTGTGCATGGTGGGATTGTGGTGGCTGGAACTGCTGCACATCGGTGCAAAGTTCTATTTTGAGAACAGACAGACAGACGGGTTCAATGAATCCAACAGGTAAAACAAAAATTGACTGAAACGCAGATAGTGTTACTGTATGATAAACTGGAACTTTGACATATCGTTGTTTTGCCGGTTGCTTTCCATCCAGTGGATCAAAGGTTCGGACCTCTGCTCCACTTATTTGCCAAGGTTTTGTGCAGTTAATTAGTATGTATCACTAGTCGTGACACGTGATATCTGTTGTGTAACTCATTGTCAACTGTATATGAAATTGTATTTAGTTGTTGTGAGTAACATTTGATTACATTTTTCACTCATTTTACTCACTTTGCAGTGGTAAAATACTTCACTGACTGTCGAGCATATTTATTTTTATTTTTGGATTAATTTTCAACATAGAACAGTGCACAGAAGTGCAACTGTTGAAGTTGGCACTATTGATATATCACATAAAATAGGAGGAAAATGGAGAGAGAGAAACATACTGAAAAGAACGTTGATAAACAGAAATGTGCTAGGAGAAAGAATAGTAATACATTGAAAAACATGAAAGTTTTAAAGGATCTGGAATTACAAAGAATAAATACATTTGTCCAACTGACAGTCCTTTTTAGCAACTGATTCTTAGTTTGTCGAAGACGTCGGTAAAATCCACCAGTCGGAGACTTCATGGATTTATACCAAGTCTTGATTTGAACACTTGCAACTCTTTTTCAACCTAACTCTCTGTCAGTTGTCATTGCTTATTAACTAACTCAGTGATGTTATGCTTTTTATGACGTAATAACCAGAAGAAATACTAATATTGTTGTGGTGAAATTTACGGTTGATTATAGCGTAGTGACAGAGGACAAGGGCCAGGCAACAGATTGTCTATTGAGGAAGTCAACAGATATTTATAGATTTTTATGTACATTATTATTCGTTATTATCAGCAGAGAAATTGCGTCTTCTGATTGGTTGTTTTTTCACTAAACGTGGCCGTTTCTTTGAAGGTCAAACCATATATCTGCGAATGGTATCTGCCCACTCAAAGTCTTCTTTGATTGGTTGTTGAGTTACTCTTTGTTTTTGTTTTTTTCCCATGACCAAGATATGGGACGTAAATATTGACGTAAATTGCTGCCTACCAATTTCGGCTAGCAGACAGCTCTCACCATAATAATATTCCGACTTGTTTTTTTTCTTGGTTTTCTGCATCTTCAAATCACCAAAAATGGAATCCTACTAAAATAGCTACCATCAGTAGTATAGCGCCTATTTGCCTTACGATTTGATAAGCAATTACTTTAATTTAATACAGTGTATCTTATACTCTCTTCTCTTTCGATAATTTGTTTTTTTTGTCTTTAGGGCGTTTGAGGATTCATGCTACCCTGTAAAAGGTGATCGTATTCCTGAGCCTACTTCTCCTGTGTCTAAACTGAGTAATTTTCTAGAACAGAGATCATCACCATTTGAAAAACTCAGACTCTGTCAATTGCCTCACTCACCAATACCTCATTGTTATCGAGGCCATAATAGTATGTCTTTTATTGTATATTTTTTCTAAAATTTAGTCCTCTCATTCATTCTGAGAGTTAATAAATTGTGACGTATTGGGTTTGATTTTTGAAGTGTTGGTTCGTAGGGATTTCATTGGTTATGGGTTTGATAATGATCTGATATCAGTTAGAGAATCATTGGAAAACCAGTGAGGAGTACTGGTGGACAGCTATTATTCCTTCCTAGTTCCGGACTGTGATTTGAACCCCCAGGACCTTCCGGTTACAATGCGAACTTGTATTTTTTCAGTGATAAGACTCTTTGCGGTGAATTCATTTTTCTTATTTGAACAAAGAAAGAAGAAACATTGGTGCAGAATAATCCGAATCCATTTTATTTCACCGGTTCTCATCAGCTGCGTACAACCTGAATTTTTTTATTAAAATAAAAATAAGTGTACAGTTTTAACCAACTTTTGTCCATTACCAAGCATATTGTCAGAGCGTCATAGTAAAATAAGGGGTTGCGATTTACAGGGTGTCTAAAGTGTTACAACATATATATGTACATTTTGTTAGAGAGAAGTTTCTTGAAAAAAAATTCAATAACAGTTGTGTTGTTGGGGTAGTAACAAAAGAAAATTAGTAATAGTTACGTAATTAGATAAGAGATCAGATTCTGCGAACATGTACCAAGGAGCCTCCAATTAAAGGGACCGAATTGTTTAAGTTCTTCAATAGCCAAACACCTGATTGATACAGGACACCGAGTAGATGTGCTGGAATCATTCAAAATACTTAACAGACAAAGTACTTCAAGTCTTGTCAGGTATGCTGAAGCTATAGCAATAAAACGACTGAAGCCTGATTTATGTGTCCAAAAAGAATCCGTTGTTGAACTTCATTTACCCTGGTGATTCACATCTTAGTAACTGTTTGTTTTCTAATTTTGTTAACTTATCTTTTCGCTCCCCCTCCTTTATTTTTCGCTTGACTCTCTTAAGAGATAATTTTTGTTGATCTACTGAGTTCTGCTCACTGTATTACATCATCAACTTCTCATGTGCACCGAAATTTTAAAATTTTGATCTTCGCTCATCTAATTACTTAACTATTACTAATTTTCTTTTGCTACTACCCCAACAACACAACTGTAAATAAAAATCTTTTAAAGAAACTTTTCTCTAACAAGATGCATATATGTCGTAACACTTTAGACACCCTGTAAATAGCAACGCCTTATTTTACTATGACGCTCTGACAACATGCTTGCTAATGGAGAAAGGTTTGTTAAAATTGTACACTTTTTTATTTTTATTTTAATAAAAAAATTCAGATTGTACGCAGATGATGAGAACCGGTGAAATAAAATGGATTCGGATTATTCTGCACCAATGTTTCTTCTTTCTTCGTTCAAATTTATAAAAGGGAATCATTGTTCGTATGCACTTCATTTTCCTTAGCTATACAATCGCATTTATATACAATATTTTTTTCACAAATAAGATATATATATATATTGTCATAATCATGGTTGCTAATAATCACCAATACATTACAGAATTTGAATAGGAGTGTTAGGGCTACCTAATGAGATAGATAATTTTAGTGAGTAAATTCCGATCAGAATGCTGCACATAGAGAAGCGGGAAAATGTCCAATTGCGTAAGTGATTTTGGGAAAAAAAATGACCGAGCTAATTTTTTCTATCAGCATAGTTTTCATAATTCAATGTGATGTTTTTCTGTGATATTTTCAAGTTATGCAGTACCTTTTTTTGATATTTTATTCCTTTTGCCTTCTGAGTGTGGAATATAGGGCTTCAGGCTTAAGCTTTATGGGTTTCAGTAGCAATGGTATTTCTAGTGGATAATTTTGCTTACTTTGCGCCCAACTTTCCCTATTTTCACCAGACTGACTACTGGATAAGCGGAATTGAGGAGTGCATTAGCAGCCGGGAATCGAACGCGGACACGTGAAGCGTGCTTGACAACCAGTGAATTAGTGTTGCAATAAGCAAGTTTACAAATAAACATTTAAAGCAAAATGTTAATTACATGGAGGATTTCATCATGAGCTGAAATCAGTTGGAGAACTACTGGAAAACCTGAGAGTACTATACAACTGTTTCGTCCTAGTTTGGGACTCTTCATCCGTGCGCACCCACCGGGATTCGAAACCAGGATCTTCTGGTTACAAGGCTAGCGAGCTCGTATACCATTAAGCCACTGAGACCCAATCCAATGGTCCTTGAATTCTAACTTCTAACTTCATGATGCTCACTAGTGACTGGCTCTATTCAGACTGTTAACCTGGGGTTCTAGTGGGAAGCATAGACCAGTAGGGTGAAGCAGGTTGAAGAAGAAGCAGTAACTCATCGAAGATGACATTGTGAAATGGTCGCGCCATGTAGTGAATTGTCAGAAGTTAGAATTCATGGGCCGTTGGATCGGGTCCCAATGGCTTAATGTTCTACGAGCTCGCCTTATAACCAGAAGGTCCTGGGTTCGAATCTCAGTGGGTGCATACTGACGAAGAGTCCCAAACTAGGACGAAACAGTTGTCTAGTACTCCCAGCCTGTTTTCTAATAATTCTCTAACCAATGTCAGCTAATGGTGAAAACCTCCATGCGATCAGACAAAGTGCCTGCAAAACCAATACTTGAAAATATTAATTAGTTCAAATTTAGCTGCTTCATATCAAGTTTGTTGACGTATAAAACAGAACATATAAATTATGGGTAGTAATCAGTGAGTATGCACAGCATACTTTCAATGTTATTATGATTTTCCTTCGTTTTAGGAAAGCAGTATTCCAGAGATGAAATAAACAAGCGAATTTACTGGTAAATCGCACAGTGTTTACTGTAAACACTGTGCGATTTATCAAAATAAAATCTTATCTATAATGGAATTATACTCTACCACAGTGCCCAAGTTTTATACTTATATCAAATTTACTGGTCTACATTTCGGTGGGATGTTATGTGGTGGTGGAGTTGTTGAGTATATTAAGATTTTTCTAAATTAAGATTGACGTGAATCGTTCTATCTTTAAATACTCGGATATTCCTGAAACTTCACACAGCTTGAAGCCCAACGTTACCGACCGATAGTTACTGCCTTGACGTGGTGGTTGGGCTTGCATATTATCCAACTAGTTACGCTGACTAAATCTAATGTCCTTTAAGGTCCAACCGTGTCAGAAAGTCTTTTAGGATGGCAATTAGACCAAAAGCAGTTACTGTCATAGTGAAAATTATTTACACTATGTGCTGGAAGTCTATGAGCGAAGGTGTACTACTGGGGAACAGGGGATCTAACAACAATGAGGTGTTTCCGTCGAATAACCAGTATGCCAGCTATGCCGCATCTTCATTCTGGAAGGCTGAGTTAGAAAAGGTTAATCCCGGGAGTGATGGTACATCTCGACCTATTTTACGGTGGTGGTCCATAGCCGGTGATAAGATCTTGCTACGGATATAACTTCAAAAACCAATTCAAACAAGTTGTGTGTGTGTGCGTGTCACTGACCTTCAACAACTGTCCCTTGGACTCTGCAGTCACTCAACACTAATGCTATTTCTGTGTCAGGTATTCCAAGAGAAGAAAATGTTATGTTTGTTGTAAGCAGTGCACTCAAAACTGAATTACTGTCTGTGGGTTTACTTTCACAAGACTGCACATAGTATTATTCGTAGAACTGTATCACTTCAAACTCCTGGACATTACATTAAATTACTCTGACGAGAATAGTTTGTTATCAATCTGATTTAACATTTTGCTTTAAGATGTTTAAATTCTTGTCATTCTTCCTGTCTTGTATTTCAGATCCTTATTGTTTAACTGACGTAAAGAGCAAAACGTCTTTGTCTATGCGTGAATGCATGTCTTCTCCAATTCCGTTAAAAACATCTTTAAACTTTCCAAGTCACCCTCTGCTTCAATCATTAAAGTAAGTTGTTTGCTTGTTATTGTTAATGTTTGAAATACAGTTTGTTGTGATAGGTAAAAGAAAAAAGTTTATTGAGAACATTCTAAACAGAATCCGTGAGTAGTCCAAGTATAACCAAAACCTTTAAGATATCTAACTTTAGAAGTTCACGTAAATAAATATTCTTGGCTTCTCTGTTATTAATACAAACTGTTCATATCGCAAATCATATCCAAGCCTCTGAAACCAGTTTCCTATAATGACATTACTTACTGAAAAAGGATTACCACTGTGATAAATATACGCCTTGTTGGAACTCAGTATTACTTGCACATTGACACTAATGGATAGAAGCAATCGTATGCCGACGACGGATTATTAAATACGTAGAGTCGTCGCACACCATCTTTTAGAAACTGCTTTTTACATGTATAATGAAAGATTTTACTCACTGAAGAGTTGTTAATTCAATCTTTCATGGCCAGATTGGCGAGATTCCTAACCGTTGTGTCACCGACGCACTGGCAAAATTTCATCTGTTACACTTCTGGTAGTACTGACGCAGATAACTAGATAATATGAATCTTCCTACTACTTCTAACGGTTAAATTCAGAGTATTCTGAACATCTTGAGCTGAAAACTGCGAATGTTTGGCATGCAATTCGCTCCCGCAAAGTGTAAGATGATGCTGCCGGACTCGACTACGTCGACTCTTAGTTTAGAAATAGGGAATGAAGTGTTAAAGCACATTGACCACTTCATTTATTCCGGAAGTTGCATCAGCCAGTGCCAACGGGTTGATCGCTGACGAAGTTTCCGCACGGATACAGAAGGCTAGTTTCGCATATGTCAGATGTATTATCGGACTGGCTAGTGACCAAAGGGCATGTGTACTGCTCATCAGTCCGCTACATCCTCTTTTATAGCTGTGAGAGAGGACCACTGAAAATGGAAGATACGAAAAGCCTGGCTAGCTGGGTTTGTTGATAAGTGCCGGATTGTATCTCCTGTGCAAAGTGGTATAATAGGGTGAGCAATATTGAAGTTAGGCATCGGTTGAGTGCTAGGTACGGAGGGGAAATCAATCGATGGGGATGTGAAGTTACACCGATTGAGATGGTTAGGACATGTGTTGTGTATGACTAGCCTAGTCATCGCCTTCCTCGACGGTGAATGTTAGGAGACGTAGGATCGGGTTGGAAAAGAGCCAGTGGTGGTCAAACCAAAACATGACTTCACCAGTCAATGAAATGCACAACAGTTATTTTAAGCCAGCCAGCCACGTAGGAAGGTGTAGACTTCTTGGCTGGTTGGGGTCATCGGGACTGTAGAAAGCAGTGGGGGCTGGAGAGAATTGGTTATATGGCTCAAAGTGGTTCTCAGTGGCTGGTGCGAATGCATGCACTCTTTGTGGCTTATAATTTCCCATAAAACTATATTGTTCTTCGATATTACTATCCTTTTTATCTGATATCCCTTCGTACTGTCTCTATTTTGCATTGTTTTTTACTTTCTTCTCTTGCTTTGTGTTGTGCATGGTGGGATTGTGGTGGCTGGAACTGCTGCACATCGGTGCAAAGTTCTATGTTGAAACCAGTCAATCAGCCAGTCAGTCAATCAGTCACTGGTCATTAGTGCTCATGAAATTAGTATAGTTTTTATTCCAGCCCATTGTTTTGCAGATGTGTTTGCGTAGCAACTATTATGAGGTATACCATTTTGCTGAGTGTTTCAGTGGATGTAGTATAGTTATTTCAAACACTTCTTTAATCATAGGTTTATTCGTCAGTTTAAATATTGGAAGTAGGTGTTAATCTTGTCTGTCACACACTCAGTTTATAAGTGTTCACCACACATATCATATTGGTGGACGTCTGTTCTGTACTGTTCTGTTTTTTTAATTTTATCTTTTTGTCATTTTTAGACTCAGATGATTCCATCAACTGGAAATCTTCAACTATCTATACCAGATAATGTACCATTAAAATCTACCGCATCATTTATGACTCCTCCTTATCAAATATTGCCTTACATCCCCACCACCAGTACCACCACGACCTCCACCACCAATTCATTGTGTCCTACAACTTTATCTCCTCTCAATCAACATAAATCGATAAAAGATAATTTGAATTATTCCTCAGATAATCATCATTCTCCCGCAATTGGTTCACTGCATATATCTACAACAGAATCACCAAAGTCTACCTCATTTCCACATAGTTTATCTAATCGTCTGTTAGGTACACCAGAGTATTTAGCTCCAGAGTTATTAATTCATCTATACGCGAAAGATGTATGCAATAGTCCAGCAGGTGATTGGTGGGCGCTAGGTGTTATATTATTTGAAATGTTAACCAGTATAACACCATTTGCAGATGATATTGTAGAGAAAGTATTTCATAATATACTCAATTTAAGTATGTTCCTTTCAATAGGTTGTTGAATTGTTTTTTGTTCTTGTTTTTTTCTGTTTCATTTCTGTCAAATTTTATTCCATATAATTCATGAAGTTATTATTATTTCATACATTTGGTTCCCTTGATAAATTTCGATGAAGAAAGGAAGACGAAATTTGCAGTATAAAATGATATCGTCATTTTATTTCACAGGTTCTCATAAGCTAACTGCAAATTACCTGAAATTACAATGGTTATATATATACATGATAATAACATACTTCAATGTTTGAATGGTAGTAGAGAAGAGATACTATAAAATTGACGCATCCAAAATGAAAGCATTACAATTTTTTCAGTTTAAGTTTTCATCATCAATTTATACGCTTTTTAAGTTGAAAAGAGGGGGAGGGGTAAGACAGAAAACAGAAAAAGTTGATTGACAGAACAGTGTCAGCTTGTAGCTTGTTCACATAGCAATTCAAAAAAAAGCGGTTACAGTTTATGAGATTAAGATTTCTTCACTGATCACTGAATTAGATAACTAATCAAAATCAAAGTTTCTGTTACCAAGGTAGTGAGAGGTTAATCACACTCACTTTCTGTATGCATAAGTCTGGTTTAAATCGTTTGATTGCGATTGCTTCGGCGAATTGTAGTAAATTTGCTGTCCTTCGTTTGTTTATTTAATATTTTGAAGGACTTAGAAATCTCTACGATGTGTCTCCTAAATGCACTGTTGGAATATTTGCTTCCTTTCAGGCACAGGTTTTTTAGATTATGTTCAGAAAACTGGATAGAAGCCCTCTTCTTTCTGTCCTTCCAATGTACTTGCTCCCGGAAGTACACGTTAGTTCATAAATGCAGTTGAAGCTGACATTAGCAGGGTATTTAATCCAGTTTTGAGTGGATTGTAGAAGGAGTGGTGCTGTATACTGTTATAAGTTTTGCTGCCGGGAAGCTTCTATTTATTGCACCTTTCAGTCTTTTGTCAATCTTTTGTGACACTGCATCTCCATTGTGTAGTAGACAAATAAATACTTTTTTCTTTTCTATAGTTGGAGGCTTTTCTTTCTTATCTTTTTCTCTGCTTTACTTTTGTATTTCATTGGGCGCATGTATGTCTATATAGTATCAAAATAGATGATTATCCTCAATGAAATCGATTACTCAAATGTTACTTGGATTCGATTTTTAGTGTTTGTTTGACCCTGGGTGACACTTACTGGGGGTGGTTATGTAAGAGCTGTTGATATACTACCCAGCCCCACTGACATTGGTAGATGGAGTGGAGTTCTAACCCGTGACTCCTACTTGTTGAATGAAAGTCGATAGCCCAGAGCTACACAGCTCCGCATAAGGAAAGATAATACGCTACTACGCAATTGCTCTTTTTTTCCTTCACGTTCCCCAGTGGAACATAGAGCTCCAAGCTACTGGCTTGAAGTTTCTGTAGCAGTGTTTATTTTACAGGATGGGGTTGCTAGCCTCATTCCCAACCTTTTCTCTCTACCAGCATTATTTCTGGCTTAGCGAGGTAAAGGATGGCGTCAGTGGCCGGGGATCGAACCCCTGGACGATGTGTATGTTCGGCGAGCGTCCTATCCGCTATGCCATCATCGCATACGCAATCGCTCTTAGGCTTGTTCAGTTAGATTGTGTGGACCATAACTCATTTTGGTGTCTACTCAATTCAAGCTATTACCACCCTTCAACAGCTGAGGCGTGTTTCGTGAAGCATGTTTACTTTTTACCATGGACTAGACAGTCAGATGGTGTCATCAGTTCTCATACAGTAAATTTGTGGGATCGCCATCTGCATAGATATGGATATGCTTTTTGAAAATAAATCTAATGCTTGTTAGTAACTGGCAGCTACAGAACGAAGTTACCTGGAGTTCTAGTGAAAAGTCGTTGTTCATTTGTCGCGTGTGCTACTGACAAGATGTATCAGTAGTATATAGATGCAGATTAGTAGGAAGCAGTCAAAATTGAGATCAACATTTTAAGTCAATGGCTGCAGAGGTAGAAGGACTTATTCCCCATATCTGCATTTAGTTTACGTTGTGGTCAGAAAATAATTTCAGTGAACAACTTTTCTCCTCAAGGTTTAACCCTGGGCCAATCGATGACCCATCAAAACATTTTATTATCCTCTGACTTAACTGACTTTTAATATCTCTAAAAATGTGCACATATGGTGTGTTTTTCGTTGATAAAAAAGTTCGTTACCAAATCTCCTCTTATCAATGTCTACCCGTTAAGGTCGATTACCTGGGACAGATTTGTCATCGTCCGGGACTCATTAAGAGCCTAATGATACCACCAGTTATCCATGCCGAAATAGACGTTGAAAGTCTCAAATCCATGACCTGTCGACTGAAAAACAAGAAGCTTGAACCAATGCTTTGCATATCCACGTTTTTTGGTGCTGACATAAAATTTTACCGCTGGAATTCACTGCTCAAGTGATGTATTCTTTCTCTACAATTTCTCTTTCCATTCCCATTTTTCCCGGTATCTAATCTCTGTTAACTAACTAACCTACGTCTTTCTAACCTTGTGATATGGTTGTCTATGTCCAGTTTGAAAACAAACCAGTTATAAATTGGCCAATAGAAGATAACACCCACTAATTAATTGGTCGTGATTACAGATTAATTGACATAACCTTGATATTTTGAATCGTATATCATTGCGTGAAAATTACTTTGCTGCTCACGTCGTTGTTTCTTCTCGTCTAAGTAAGGCGAACTGTGGAAACAGGCAGTCGTGTTATTATTATTATTATTAACCAAAAATTAAAACCAAGTGGATTGAAATATCTGTTCATTAGGTTGTGAATATTTCCCTGGCGAAAAGAAAATCTTTCTGACCTCTAACGTACATATCTCATATATGTAGAAAAAAGACAAGAGATTCTATGGCATACTATTCGCTGTATCTGATTAGCCGATTACCTACTGACTGAATGTCAACGGCACAACATTTGACAAAAGTGTGGTGGTTCAAGTTGCCACATATTATTATTATTAATTCCTGGAGGAACATAGGACTTTAGCCGCGCGTTCGGTTCTCTGCTAGAGTTTTCAACTGGCTCCAGGTCTGACCACATGCTTTCATCTCCTCTTCACATGACCTCCTCCAAGTCACCCTTGCACTGACGACCAACTCGCCGTTTCCCTTTCGGGTTCCACTCGAGCAATGGTTTGTCTAGTGATTTCACTTGATGGCTTGTTTCCTCAGAGTATGGCCAATCCAATCCATCTCCATTTTTTCCTGCTTATTTGTTGCACAGTCGGTTCCTGCTGAGTTGGTTCGCTCATTGCCAGAGATCACTGTTGCTGATCTGTACTGGCCGGCCATCTCATCTTGAGCCGTATTGAGCGAATACAGCTGTTGATGGAGGTCTTTAGTTTGTTGGTGGTGCTCTTTATGACGCAACAAGTCTCTGATCCGTTTAGTGAGTAGCACTGATTTCACATTGGAGTTGAAATTTAGGATCTTATTTTTGATGCTGAGTGATGTTGACCTCCACACAAACTTGAGAGTAATGAAAGCTTGTCTTGCTTTCCCGATCCTCACTGCTTTGATATCCTCATCAGTTCCGTCCGCCTGAAACGATTCTTCTGAGGTGGGTAGGCAAATGAGGTTGTTTATTTCAGGTTCCTCCCATTTATGCTGGCTGATTGTTGTCTGTTTTTGTTGTTGCTGTTGGTGTTGACCAGAAATCTTCATCACCTCTGTTTACACTATGTTCGCCTGAAGTCCTATCTTATATGGACGCTCCTTCTGCCAACTTGTTGCTTTTCACTTGCATATCTTCCAGTTTTGGGAAATCAGATGTATATCATCGGCGAAACCCAATCCAGATTCCCCGAGGTTTTTGTGTGAGTCCATTTTATGCCTGTCTCGTCGTTGCTTGCTGTCTGTCACATGATCCAGTCAACCGCAATCAGGGAAATCCTTGGAGGTAGTAGGCAGCCAGCCAGTCTTGTCTTACTTCCGTCTTTACTTCGAAGGATTCCGTAAGCTTGCCGTTGCCACATACTGCATAGAAAACAACACAAATAATTAGAGCTTAATTATTTTCAGTTGATATGTGCTCAAGAAAGAAGAATTATATTAGAGGAATACACGGACCTAATCGGTCTGATGAGATTACAATAAATGTCAATGCATCTGTACCACTAACAGTGATTTCGAACTATATGTCAATAATAACAGTCTCAAGTCATTGGCTCTTAATATATATCGACGAATTATATGGCTCGAACCAACAGTCAAAGACTATATATATAGATCAGATCGACACCAGCTGTTGATTTGATTAGCAGACCACACACTGTACACCAAAAGACTAAATCAGTTGATTGTTTTTTTTTTTTTTGAGGCTGAAGTTTCAGCAAACCTTTCTGAGATTTCAACTTCTCAAATTGTCACTATATATATTACTCTGTAAATCAAACATTGAAATCATTGAATGCATGAAAGCAAAATAACAATGGAGAAGTTCAACTTGTACAGTTTTCTTCGTTTATCGTATTATCTTTCTCTTCCCAGGACTTATTGAATTTCTTTTTTTTTTAGAGATACAATGGCCTGTTGTTAACTCAGATGCCTCGGATAACTCAAATAGTAAATCCTCATCGCAAGAAAATCCTGTCCTTTCACAATCAGCTGTCAAGTTGATTACCGGTTTATTATCTTATGATCCTGTTGATAGACTTGAAGTTGCCAGTCAATTGAAAACATATGATTTAATAATACCAGTTGGTGATTGGAATAATTTGCATAATATTGAAATGCCTTTCATACCTCATCCGGATAATTCAATGGATACATTTTATTTCAATGTAAGTATGTTGAATATATACATATAGGATGTATATTTCACACAGCATCATTCAACTTGTATTATAATCTAACTGACCGATTGAGTTTCAGTTTAGAGCTTTTTCACAGAAGTATAAGAATTCAAGTTGTTGCACTGCATGTATCATGTAGCACAATAAAGCCAATAACTTATTTAAGTGTTGGTTTGTAGGGATTTGATTGGTTACAGGATTTCATCATGAGCTGACATTGGTTAGAGAACTATTGGGAAACAAGCTGGGAGTACTGGACAGCTGTTTCGTCCTAGTTTGGGATTCTTAATCAGTACTCACTCACTGGGATTCGAACCCAGGACCTTCTGGTTACAAGGCTAGAGAGCTCGTAGACCACTTAGCCACTGGGACCTGATCCAACGGCCCATGAATTCTAACTTCTGCCAATTCACGACATAGCGTGACCCCTAGCCAACGTCTTCGTTGGCGAGTATTTGTCCTCACACGACCTGCTGTACCCTATTGGTCATGACTTCTCACTAGAAGCCAATAACACCTGGTATTTCTAGATGGCCATCCATGAAGGTGTCTGACAGTCCCACTGACTGGTTTCAGCATAGAACTTTGTACAGAAGTGAAGCAGTTCTAGTTGCCACATTTCATGAAGCATGCAAAGGAAGACGAAAGGGGGGGAAAAGAGATTCGAAACTACAATAATAAGCAAAATATGATAGAGAAATAGTAGTAACACAGAAGAACAATAGGTGTTTTTGGATGTGGTAGATTACAAAGATTTAATTATTTTGTGCCATGTCATCAGTTGCTTACAGAGGTATTTTGGAAACTACTTCAACACTGTGGTGTGCAGCGCCCAAGTCTTTATCAACCTCATTCAACAACTGGCTATATGACAGCGCCATGTGTCAGAGTGATCCACAACGGAAAACTCAGTGAAGCGTTCAGAGTGAATACAGAAGTGAGACAAGGCTGGCCGCTTATTGTCACCACGACTGATATTTCTAGTTGTGGTGGACTGGATTATGTGCCAGACTCTGCATGGGAGTGAGACGACAGGAATACATTGCACTGGCTGACAAGAAGACTCTAGAGGATCTGGATTTCACGCGTGGATGATTTATATTTTATGTCACACAAACTCGAAGACTTACAGGCAGGCGAAAACCAACGAATTGATTGAAGAATCATCTGGCAGCGAAGACACGACTCCAGGTGGACATAGAGAAGGTGGAGATGGAGGTGATGAAGATAACCAACTAACAGCAACTTATCAAGGTTGTAAGCATTATTTCACCCACAGACATGGATGAAGACGTCAAACTCAGCCTACCAGAATCGGAAAGACAAGATATACCCCTTCGTCAACTTGAAACCAGTTTGGAAATCTTCTGCTGTCACTCCGCAGCATATATAATAACATTCGGATTTCCAACACAAATGTTAAGTCAGTCAGTCACTCCATCTATACGGGCTAAAAACTTGCACTGCGTGTCTGAAAAGGATTTCAAACAGGCTAACACAGACTTTTGTCACGACTACCCTCTTCTCTGGTCTCAAAAGATCAAATGGTTGACCGACTTGACAATAGTGTTGTAATTACGATTCTTGTTCTTGAGTTAGTGGAAAAGATTTCCAAACTGGTTGCAGGTTGATGAAGTTTTATCTTGCCCTTCCGATTCTGTTTGGCTGGCTGTGACATATTCATCCGTTCCGACGACTGCCTGTGGTCGAAACAATCTGTATTGCCTAGATAAGTGAAGGAAGTAACCTCTGTTAAGTCACTCCTGTTGATGGTGATTGGTGCTGGTTGTTGTTGTTGTTGTTGGTGTTGATGTCTCGTTGGTTATCTTCATCACCCTCGTCTCCACCTTCTCTATGTTCACCTGGAGTCCTGTATTCAGCCAGTGTGTTGGCTTTCGCCTGCCTGGAAGTCTCTCTCTCTCTCTCTCTCTCTCTCTCTTATATATATATATATATATATATATATATCCTTGTGTCATGGGCTTTAATGTGCTGTACTATTATTATTATTAATTATTTAATTTTTCAGATCCGTAATCAATACAATGCATATACTGAAGAGGATTTACGTGTACCTGTAACCTGATATCTGTAATAAACTGATGAATATTAATTAATTTTATTGTATACCTTATTATTATTATTATATATTTTATATCCTACACTAAGTGACATTTATTTATTTATTATTCGAGTGCTCTTTTCCTGTTCCCCTCTTCTTTTTACTTCCTAATGAATGTATTTGTTACCAGTGGCATTATATATATATATATATATATATATATATATATATATATATATATATAATTCCCTCACGTTTCCAGTGAAACACAGGGCTTTAAACTGGTGGCTTGAAGTTTCTGTACCAGTGTTTATTTTTTTACAGGATGGAGTTGCTAGCCTCGTGCCCCACGTTTCCTCTTTACCAGCATTAATACTGGCTTAACGAGGTGAAGGAGTGCATCAGTGGCCGGGGATCGAACCCCAGGACCATGTGGATGGTCGGCGAGTGTCTTAACCGCTGTGCTACCGACACACATATATGTATATATATGCGTCTACTTAAGTGTTATAATGGAGTATTACTGATTCGTATTTGTTGTGTAACTTGACTAGAAGGCACCTTCAGATACGACACTATAGCCAAGTGGGTCATTTGAAAACCTTATTCCCCCACGCTGAGGTAGACACAAAGGTTTGATTTAGCCGCCGGCGGCGAATTCATCCACTTGGCTGTACAATTCCAACTATACATACCTATTTATGCATGTATGTGTGTGTACACGTTAGGTTTGTTCGATAAGAATAAAAATAAGTTGGTGTTATTGTTGTCAAGACATTTCAAAATTGATGTGATGAGTAATCGAATTGTGATTATGTGGGGGTGAAGATTGGTAAGTGGGTTTCGGTGATGTACTGTCAAAAAACAGTAATTAATGTCAATTAACACATAAAAGAAGTTGAATAAGCGTAATGCAGTTACGTAATAACGTGAATAGTTTGTTGAGTGGGTTATGATTAGGCTGCACATAAAAACAAAGGAAAATATGCACTTATGTAAGACTGCTAAAAATTGCGAATCATATAAAGTTTATGTACAGAAAAGTTTTAACATACTTGCAAATCTTACATGATATCAGGTTCCATAATTAATGGACAGTGCTCAGGAAATTACGCATTATATAGTTTTTACACAGGCAGTTCAGGTTTAAACAAAATAAATGTATGCATACAATGGTAAAGGAGTTACATAATAACGGCGAAAGATGCGTAAGATGATGAGTGACTAATAAATTAGGTAACAATGTGCTGAGTTAAACTCACATCATAGAAACAAAAGACATGCAAAATTACACTATATCAAAGGGGTGATGTTAATTGCCAAACATTATGTAATCCTGAGCGGACATCAGTCAGAGAACCACTGGAATAACTGATGTCAGCTTGTGATGAAATCCTCACTTCAATCGAACAAAATCCCTACAAAGCCAATACGTGAAAATTACGTGATCAAATGAAGAAGAGAATATAGACACCCAGTTACTAGAACACATAAATCAGGTGTCAAGCGTTTGATAGAAATTGCTTCGACAAACTTGAGAAGAACTGAGCCTTTTTTGTCTGTTGATAATTCTGAAGGACTTCGCGATTGCCCCTCATAATCCGTATCAAGCAAATGTCTGGTAATAGCACTATTATAAGAGTTTGTTCCCTTGAGACGTAGGCTTTTCGATACATGTTCAGAAAGTTGGAGGTATGCCCTTCTTTCTGCTCTCCCAACAGAACTGCTCCTGCAGATACATGAGAAGGGTATCTGTCGATTTTTAACAACGCCAAGGAGCATGTTGTTCGACAGACGGGAACCAACTTAGCTGCAGGATAGGCTCTGGATAGTGAAGTACTCAGTCTTCTCTTGACCATTGCTGCAATGTTTTCACCTTTAAAATCGAGTTGAATGAAGACAGACTTTTTTCCACTGTGATTTGTTTGATATTTGAGCCTCCACATCTTCCATACTTGTTAATGAACCTTTGAGGATAACCGTTGTTTGTAAAAATCTTTTCGAGAATCGTAAATTCTCCCTCCAATTTAAGGAGGGGTTAACAAAAAACAAGCATGAAAAATAAGATCCGAAATTTCAACTCCAATGTGAGGTTAGTGCTACTATACGGTTCAGAGATTTGGTGCGTTCTGAAGGGCACTTCAAACAAGCTACAGACCATCGACAGTTGTCTTCGCTCAATACCACTCAAGATCAGATGTCCGGCCGGGAAAGATCGGCAACAGAAATCTCTGGGAGCAAACCAACCCAACAGGAACCGATTGTGCAACAAATATGCAGGAAGAAATTGAGGTGGATTGGTCATACTCTGAGAAAACCATCAAGTGATGTCACATACCAGACTGCCGAGTGGAACCCTAAAGGGAAGTGGAGAGTTGGTCGTAATTGTAAGGTTGACTTCGAGGAGGTCATGTGAAAAGGAGATGAAAGCATGTGGGCAGACTTAGAGCAAGGTGAAAACTCTAGCAGAGAACCAAACGCAATGGAGATGTACGACTGAAGCCTTATGTTTCTCTAGGAACTAAAGGAAACAATAATAATCAAGCTGTAACTTGGGTGGTAGGTGAGGACTGATAAGAGGGTAATGGTGATGCGTTGTCAAAAAGACATAGTTATTAATTATCGAACAAAGAATATTCTCGTTGATGACTTCATCATCAGGTTCTACGGTCATATATCCATAATGAAGAAGGAATATTTAATATAGTTGCTTCTGGTTACAAGGCGAGCTCGTATACCATTCAGCCAGTGGGACCCGACTGAGTGGCCTTGTAACCGGAAGGTCCTGGGATCGAATCCCAATGGGTGCGTACTGCCGATGATTCCCAAACTAAGATGAAACAGCAGCTGTCCAGTACTCCCTGGTTTTCAATGCTTCTCTAACTGATATCAATCCGTGATCAACTCGTAAAAACAAAACTAATCCTTACAAACCAAATTATAGAAAAATACACATATTAAGTCAGTAGAAGTTAATACGGTAGCTACCATGATAATAGAAGTGGTTGGATGATTTTCTTTTGCAGGAATAACTGGCTTTCTCAACTGAATATCTAAAGCTATGGGGATACAAAGGAGACGAAAGCGTATTTATTGTCTTTGGTAGGTTGTTCTTCACTTTGTGGGACGTATTTGTTTAGATTGAATAACCAGTGTTGACGAGATGTTCGATTATCTCACTCCTTATACAGCCACTATTACCTTTCCTAGTCAAGCGGGATAGTGTTCTTGAACCCTTTCAGGTAGGATACACGTGGAATGACCAATGTACCTGCCTCCACAGCAATAGGTGAACTGATGTATGCACATAGAAGTGGGCAGATGCGATGTCTTGTCCTTAAGGCTTCTGTAAATCTACTCTTAGTCTTGTTGCGAAGAATGTTCTTTTCAAAGATGCTGAAATTATCTTGAGGATATTGCCAGCTAAGTCTCTCTTGAAATGCAGATCCATGTAAAGCTTCTTTTTTGGAACAAGTGATGTCTCGTCCCTCTGGACCTTTGGTTTGATATTCTTGTCGATGAATTTTGGTTGGTATCCATGAAGGATGAAGTTTTCTTCCAGAAGATCCAGTTCTGCTCCCAGCTTATAAGGCATCAAGATACATCGGGTCCGAATTTTTTTTCCTTCACATTCCCTTGTGGAACATAGGGCATCAAGCTAGTGGCTTTCCTCTTTACCAGCATTATTTCTGGCTCAGCGAGGTAAAAGGGTGCATCGGCCGGGATTGAACCCCGGAACATGTGCATGGTTGACGAGCGTCCTAACTGCTATGTCACTGACGCGGATCCGAATAGCTGAGAGATTAATCAGAATTCGTTTTCACTCAATAGGTACTCAACTTTAGAAACTGGTAAGTTGACTGTTGCAAGTAAGTTTCCTGTGGATTGACCTTCTTGAGGTCCCGTTATGTCGTCTTGTTAGCTGCACATCAACAAAGAGAAATTTGTATTCGCATTCCATTTCCAGAGTGAATTTTATTACCGGATGGTAGTCCCAGAGACCATTGAGTCCATTACTAGCAGACTGCTTCATGGCTATCTTTGAGAAAGTCCCACTGAAGTCGTCCATTGTCAAATTGCAGACGACACTTAAATTACATTTTCGTCATTTGCGACAACAGTTACGACCAAAGTTAAGTGCTACAAATATTCAACAACTGCCACCCGCAATCGAACTGAAAATAAATGTTTTGATAAAGTCTCACAGTGTTACACAGTAAACATTACTGTATAACACTGTGAGACTTTATCGAAACAAAATTTACCCATAATGGAATTACACTCTACCACAGTGCACAAGTTTTATTCTTATATCAACGAAAATAAATTAATCAAAAACTATCCAATCAGATAATTATGTTAGTATTTATGATTGTTATTCCCTTGGCTTCCGTGTGAAACTCAGGGCTTCAACACTACATCTTTCCTTTGTTCCTTTTTTCCACCCTCCTGTTAAGCTGGGTCCACGGTTGTTCATAATCTCTCATCTCCTCCTCACATAGCTTCTTCATTTCATCTTAGGACGACCCATTCATCCATTTCCATCTCGATTCCACTCGAGCTATTGTCTGCATTGCTTCCGAAGTCATTCGATGGTTTCATCAATGTATGCCCGATCCATTTCTATTTTCTCCTACATATTTGTTGACCGATCGGCTCTTGGTTGGTATATCGCCAGCCAGAATTCCTTGTAACTAATTCATTCTGGCCAGCCAGCCGACTATTTAATCTTCCGAATTTAGCCAGCTAGCGAGGGGGACAGCTGTTGATAAAAGTCAGTAGACAGAAGACAAGTAATTCAGCGAAGAGTCTCTTTTCGGCGAATTCATTTTCATAGCTGTACAATCGCAAATATATATGGTTATTTTGTGTGTGTGTATACATTGAATTTGTCAAACGAAAATAGAATTAGTAAGTTCAGATGAATTGGATGTTGATAAGAGGATAGCAACAAAAGTGACGAGTTGCCAAAAACTATTGTTAAAGAGGAGTAAGTTCAGGTGAATTGGATGTTCATATAAGAGGATAGTAACAAAAGTGATGAGTTGTCATAAATGATTGTTAAATAAGAGTTACGTAATGGCATGAATAGTTTGATGAATGAGTTGTGCTCAGGGTGTACATGGAAACGAAATAATATACAGAATTACACAAGGGTTTTAAGTTAGAAAAATAAGCACACAAACAGAAGTAAGGTCAAAT